TAAACCATAACCGAAATCGAACTGAAATATTTTTTCGGCTCGAGTCCCTGATGTTTATAGAACATTTTGATCCCTTAATACTAAGCTTTTATTTTACTTTCGTTACTAGCTGTGAGGGACCCAGAACTCAAGGTTCTTTCTTGCAAACCTTCAATGCAGAGAAAGTTCACCCTAGGAGGCAATCAATAAATCATTAGGGAATTTTGCGGTAGGTGCGTTGATAGACAATATGGGCAATCCATCTGCTCGCTACTGGAGTTTTCCAAGTTGGGACTGAAAATCATTTACTCAGCATCGTGTAAATCCTCCATTAGATACGCCACACAGGGGGTTTCCAAAATATACCAGTCATTCTTAAAATATCTTTGAAAAAGCCGTCCCAAAGGACCATGGCGATATTATAGTTCTTGGTGAATTCTTGAAGTAAAATCCGTTCTGCCATATAATACATTTAGCATCATTCTCTAAATATTGTACATACACTACATATACACCTGTTAACGCAAGAAAGAAACATAACTTAATAATAATTTAATATGTAATAGCTGCGTATATATAACTATATATTAACAATTATTGTGATATGTATTAGATTATCCTAACAATTTAATTGTTACATGTCTACGTTGTGTGGATATTAGGAAATAATACGTTTTTTACATTTTTGTATAATTATTATTAATTTTTTTATATTTATGCAAAACATTTACGCAAAATTACACTAACGTACACACTTCATTGTTAGTCACGTTTTTCTTAAGATAGCACGCTACTTATCTTGTGTTATCGGACTTTCGTTCTCGACACACAATTGTAGATAATTCTAAACTTTCCTCGACGCGTTACCACGTAGTGTCCGGTGTTAATTAACACACCGGAAGACAAGAGCTTCCCGTCTTCTGCCACTAATCCAAAGTCTTACAGCCCGGCGACTTAAGACTTAAGAACGGGGTGTCTCGCTTATTCTCTACCACCAAGATAAACGGTCAAGGGTGCATCGTCTAAGAGAGTAGAGGCACATCCGGTCAGCTCGCTTCCTGCCAGCCGTGTAACTTACTTCACTGTCGGAAGTTATTTCAATGAAACGGCTCCATTCAGGTTTAATTTATCGTTTCTACCCCAATTATTTTGGCCACCAAGGGAGCGAGGATAGTTAATGAGTCACGCGCGCGCGCGGGGAAAAAGTCCAAGGACAACTTTCAATAATTATAATGAGAAATAGGGCGAAGAAATAGTAATCTCATTACACATTTATATTTATGATAATTATATTTTTTTTTCATTTTTTACATAACTTTATATACACCGTGAAACTAAAAAAAATAAACATTGTACATACATCTTAGCCTGCAAAAACAAAGAGCGCATCTCAAATAAATTATTTCGGTTTTTCGTTCGACTCGTTCGAGAAAGTCATGAGAACGACGGAAACGATGCGCCACTTCCGCGTCCCGCGGATCTCCTCCGAGATGCTCGCGTGAGAAAGTCTCAATCTAATAAATTCATGAAGGAACGTCGTACGGTCTGGTCGCTCGCGTTCTCACAGGCCTTCGTGAATATCGAGGCGCGATTCCTACGGTTTCCGTGTGATCTGCCGACCGCAAATAGCGAAACGGTAATGCAGCGATGCGGCGGCCTTGCGTCTCCAAGATCAAGCCAAGGAGACGCGCCTTGTTGTGGAATAGCTTATCGCTCGCGCGATCAAAGACGTATCGAATAGATTTCGCATAAGGGATGGCGAAATTACTGGGAGCTGGGAGCTTCTCATCAATAAGGGTTCAACCGCAAACCGCAATCCTGAGCGAAACGGAGTCGCACCTTATAGTGCACACTCGTCGCACCTCGGGAGAGAGTCTGACTCTTCACCAAAAATACGCTACCCCATAATAATTGAATTCGACATATTTTTTCTATAACTGATCATTCCGCTTGCCCTAAAAAAAATTTTCGCATGCACAACGTGATCTTGACACTCGTCGCACCAATGATTTCTGTTATTTTGAATTCTTCTACAAATCTACGATCGCACGACGAACTTCTTTGTGAATCGGCCCACGAACGAATCAACGATCACGCGGCCGATCACGGCTGATTCATTGACGAGTCTTTCGCGTGTGAGCGTCGCCTAACACGCGCACGGATCGCACCGTGGCTATGAATGAAATCGCGCGTGGCACATCCTCCGGTGGTGGGAGCCGACGAGCGTGCGTTGCGTAACGTGCACGTGTGGGTGGTAGCGCGCGTGTGGGAACGTGGTCGCGGCGGTAAGGAGAAAACGCGTGTGCATCACGAGTGAGCGAGAGACGCGGACGGAGCTGGGCGTAGGCGGAGTCGCTCGCAACATCGTCTTCGCTCGCACATGCGCCTTATTAAGGTGCCTCCCACAACGACTCGGTCACTCGAATTACGGAGAATCCACGTCGCAGGTCACGATTACCGGCCGCCCTTATCGCGCATCCTCATTAACGAGTCTAACGATCCTTCTTTTTTTTTTCTTGCACCGAGGCCGATTCCTTGACAAATTGCGATTCCTCTTTCTCTTCTCTTTCGCGTCGCGAATATTGGTCTTAACGGAACTCGAAGAGCGTCGTCGTTAAGGGTAAAATCGTGAGACTACAGATGCAATCGTAGACAAAGGCATTATCGCAGTTTAAAACAACTCGTGCATGCTCGGACGTGCGTACCTAAGACGGCAATCTCTAAGTCCGATCTCTCTCTCTCTCTCTCTTTGCTTTTTTATTATTTCGATTTACAGTTTTGCCTCGGTGGGGCAGATCGCACGGTTTTCGTCTCGATCAGGATCGAGTGAACTCGTTTGCATGATCCGGTCCACTTCGGCGATAAATTGATCGAGCGATGACACCGCAAGCTATAAAAGTCATTAGACTGTAGATGACAGATCTACCACGAAAACGTCGCAAAAAAAGATTATGAGTTAACTAAAATAAATACGGTTAAAACGACTCTTAATTTTTGTGCAAAATGTTCATTATTTTTTAAAGTCGTAAGTGTAAGTAAGTGTATAAGCTGTATTAGGAATAGCAAATAAGAATAAAATACGTGTAACAAATGTAAAAGAGGAAATTTCTGGGAAACTCTTATAAAATATAAATATTAAAGAAAAAAACCAGACGTTTTAAAGAATTCTTTAGCAAATCTAAAATCGATTTCAGCGAAAATATCAAGAGAGATTATTTATCGGCATTAAATATTTTTGTAACTGACAAGTCATAAACGGAAATTTCGTTAAAATAAACTTTATCTGGGCAATTGGGTGAAGACTTTCGTGATATTTCGTTATATTTAGAAATCTGAATAATTGGGAGGACTTGTCTGAAGAAATTATTAAATAGTCTCTCAACTTATTCTAATATTTGGCAGCGTGTATATATAAATAATGAATACGTCGCTGCAGGAATTATAAGCAGCGTATCGATCGAAGCGCTGGAGGTGGCGAAAAATAAAAGGGAAGAAAGGAAGAGAGGAAAGACGTCAGGGACCACCTAATGCCGCGATCGCAATGAGATAAATAATCGCGATGGGTGGGCGCTGGCGCCTTCCTGAGCACGGCTTACGAGTTACGGGCCGCGCACCTTATGGGTCCCCATAGGGTGCCGTGCTCTACGTCGTTGCATACCCCATAAGGTGGTACAGAGCTCCAGCCGCGTGTGAGAATCCATTCCGCGCGATTTCACAGGACTCGCGGGGGGCCCTTCACCACCGAAATTCGCCTTTTTTACCCCCGACTGTCTCCTTTCTTCTACGTTCTGTTTCTTCGTCTTTTTGAAGTCTTCTTGAGAACCCTGTCGCGTATAAACTCGAGCCTCCCCGTGACGGCCGAGTGTTGTCAAAGCTAAAAATTAGGCTGTGCAAAGCGTATATATCTTTATTCGGCGTCCAATAACACTGGAATTACGTATAGAATAATAGTGGATGTAATTATTATATAATAATTATGATTATTTGGTTTTTTTTTTGCAAAACCATTGGTAACAATATTTTAGAAGTCTATCTATAACATTAAATGGTTTCAATGCCGCTTTATGTGCTTCATTTTGTCTAACGCCATTCGCAAAACTTGATCAACAACGCGAGCGATTTTCTCTACAAAGCGGAGACTCATTTTCTACGGCGCTAACCGAACGGTAACGGCACTCTTTCGTGGTTGAATACCCCGTTGAAAGTTTCCTGACCGGCGCTTTTGTAGCATTAGCCGCGGGTAACGAGTCGCCTTGCGTACGAAATCGCCGTGAATTCGACAAGCGGAGAGTTTGATTGTTCGCGCGAATCGCAACGCTGGGTGCGAAGAAGTGGGGTCGGAAAAAGCGATTGCACGCGATTTAGAGGTTCCAATGAGCGAGACGGTCATTACACTCGTGATGCCATTTAAATAAATAGAAGACCTAACAATAAATAAGAGAAATTCATTAATACAAGCATAGTTACATCACGGACGAATCGGGTGACGAACGGTACCGTTCATCTTTTTTTTTTATCCGGTTTTATCTTTTTTCTTTATTTTTTTCTTTAAACAAACTATCTTCTTCATCAGAATTATTTTCTTGAAGCTTCCTCGTGAAAGAGTCGTCGAAGAAGAAGGTCCGCAACCTCGTGGTTGCGCGCACACATCGAGTCGGTCCTCTCGGTTCGCGCGCTAAGCGTCCTCTTCGGGGTCCGTGCGCGTGCGAGGTGGAGGATTAGGTGGAGGAGCCGGTTACGAGAAAGGTTAAATAGGTGCCGGGTGGCGGTGGTTCTCCGAAGGTGGGTGTACTCGTTAGTGTGTGAGCCCGCCTACCGTCCAATGCGGTGGCTGGTTTCCCAGAGGACTCCCTGGCCTCTCTCGCGCGGCTTTTCACGGTCCCCTCTCTTTCCTTCTTCCTGGCCGTCGTTTTCTGCCGGCACCACTTCGTTGGAGAACTTCGACCGTGTGTACGTGTGCGTGCGTGCGTGCCTGTGTGCATGTATACGTGCGTCGCTTTGCATCGCGCGTGATAATAGTCAACGGGTGGGACCCACTTGACGCGCGCTCGCCTCGAGATCGCCCGAGATACCGGGTCGACTACTGACGAGGCCCGCAGTTCTCAGAGCATCGCGATCGACGGTGGATCGATCGCCGACTCGCGCGATCCAGACCAATGGGATCCAACGGAGAAGATCGACGCGGAGACGATGATTATTGAGATACACCAAGCATCTGATTATTCGACGGAAATCACGAAACGGAGAACCGAGAAATGATCGAGAGGCACCCCGATCTAACGCACGCACGTGGAGAACGAGTTGGATAAAATTGTGGCAATCAAGAATTTGAGAAACAGATTCGCCTGTGTCTTGAGATTTGACGTGTAGTGTGCGGTGAGAATTAAATTATTTAAAGAAAACAACATTAAGAACATATAGTGCCTTAAATCGGGATCATCGAAAGCTGTTTGTTAATTGACCTATGAAACGATTTAGTTTCATAACATTTTAATCGATACGTTTTAATGACACTTGGATTGGTATACTCATTATTACCAGTCAGTCTTAATATATTAGCAGAGATGTATTATTGATCTCGTCTGTGTGACCTCGACTGATTCTTCAGACCACTGAGCCGCTTTCATACCGATTTCAACTCGTCTTACTCCGAACAACAGCACCTCAATCTGGATATTGATAATGATTTATGATTTATATACGATATATGATTCTATATTGACACTTCAATGACGATAGTTCAGTTTGATAATTCGTATACGTGACGTGGATTATTCGTAAACAAACTAAAGACCGAGATCAAACTAAACACCAGAAAACGAAAAGGACGAGATGCTCTTCAAAGGCAATAGTTCACGGCTAGAATTGTTGATAGGAAAGATCCACGCGCACAAGGAACCGTCACAGGACGAGCAACACAAGTCTAAAGGTCTGGACATAATTATTTT